TCTCCAAATTGAGGTGCTTAGCTACAAGACAATTGGATTTTAATATGGCTACACATTAGAATTATCTGAGAGACTTGAAACATGTATAAATGTCTGGTCCCCACCCCCCCCCAGAAATTTTAGTTTAATTGGTCCTGAATGGTACCTGGGTAATGTGCATGTTTTAAAGCTTTGGGGTGATTCAAATGTGCCATCGGAGTTGGGAACCAGTCAATGAAATATCCTCAAGCTGGTCTTCTAACCTTCTGAGACTTCGGAAGATCTAAAGCTTGGGTCAGTACAACTTTACTTCACCCCTTGTTACTCTAGTGAGGGAGTCTCACATGTCCACCAAGCCAGGATTTACCTTCTGGCACTCTAGCTGTAGGAAATTTATGACATTTCTAGTGAACCCAGATAGCTTCCTGGTGGGGAAAAAAAAATCATTCTCCTGTTGATTTTAAATTTTACCATAAATGTGAGTTCTTGAGTATTTCTTCCCATTGTAGCCAATGTTATAGCAATTGTGAAGATTATGCACATAGAATTGATTATTTCTCAAAAGGTGTCTGAAATCAGCAGCTACCTACGATATTCTGCCTGTGAGGTGATTGTGAAATGTTTGTTGTTGGAAAATTCTATACCTATAACTCTTTAATGGCATCTATAAATCCTCGAGAAAACAGAAGTAATAAAATAGTTTTAGTGGGTTATTGCTGCATGAGGATATTAGTCAGAACTTATAAAACCATCATTGGCTTATGAGTGATAGTTATAAATGTGTTTTGCTGGGAATTGCTGAGGAAATATAAAAGTGTATTATTATTTTGGATTCTGCTCATGGGAAATGTTTTGGGAACTGAAAATTTAATTAGGTGGCTTACTGGATTAAAGGCGACTGGCGAGAATCATGCTTCGTAAACTACACTTTTAAAAATTTCCCCTTTCCCCTAAGGGCTGAGGATTTGTTCCCGATTGAATTCATAGGACCAAGACCCCCAGATCCTTTCCATTGCTGCCCCTTGTATTTTACCGTCCTTCATTACTAGAAGTCTAGAGCTAAATTTAGAATTTGTGCCCTTTTCGTGTTTTGAAGAGCTGTGGGACCCTGCCACAGTGGCTTAGCATAGAACAGCTTCAATTTGGAGGAGGATAACTGTTTCCTATGGGTGAACATTTTCCACAGTTGCTTCCATTGCCATGTTGTGCTATGAAAGATTCTTAGCAGAAGCTGAAATAATCTGCTTTTGGCTCAAGTAGCAATGGCAAAAAAAAAGAAAAAGAAAAAGGCAGTAAGAAATCTAGAGCAAGGAGCACCAAAAGGAGGAGTAAGGACTTAGTTTTATAGGAATGATGCTGACAAGCCTGAGGTCAGTCTGAGCCCTGCACTCAACAGCAGCTGGCACCTGGTTCTTACTGGCATCGGGTGTTTGCTCTGTGATGGGCACTGAGCCTCGTCCCTTCTTTGTGTCACCTCATCATACGTATCTGAGGGCTTAAGCCCCAAGCACCGTAGTTTTTGGTCTGAGAGTCTCTCCGGCAGAGGGTCAGCTCTGGACCTCCGCTAGCTGTGCCTTTCTTCTGGTCAAGGAGACACGTCTCTCTGGACCCCTACCCATTTTTACACTATGTTGTGGGTCCTCATAAATGTGGCATTCCCTGTCCAAACAGCCTGGAGTGCATGTCCCAGGGCAACACAGGCCTTACTGCCAAAGGTAGGGAACGACCTGTGAAACAAAACCCACAGGGAGGCTGCCTGGGGCTGGCCTAGGGCCCCAGGTGCCAAGAGAATCAGATGTGTCCCAGCTTGTTACTCTGTCTTCCTCAACTATGGCTCCCATCTCTTACTCCCAAGAGAGCTGTTGAAGCTCCAGTGGTCAGATACTAATTTCGGTCAGAAAGTAGGAGAACGGAATGAAAAAGCACATCCTCTCCCTTAAAGAGCACTTACCGGAAGTTGAACAAAAGCTCTTCCTTACATCATATTAGCCTTAATGTGTGTGTGAGAGAGAGAGAGAGAGAGAGAGAATGAGAGAGAGAAGGGCGTGGGGGGTTCTCACAGAAGAGCCCAGTTATTTTACATTATAGTATTATCTGGCTGGCACATTCATTGCAATTACAGTTATAAATTAATTTAATTCTGACATTTTCATTTTCCACTGCTCTATTTGTCTTATTTTACTACTTTCTTCCCTCAGAGTGTTTTTTTTCTTTACATTCTTTTAAAAACTTGCTTGAGGTTATTATTGCCTTTTTCTCCCTATTGTATTTGAAAATCTGTATTATTTCAATAGTTTGTATCGCATTCAAATGAATATTTAATAAAATCAACCTCTTTGCATACCACTGTAGTAATATAGGGACCTAGGACAGCTCTAACTATTCCCTTTCGTCTCTGAGGCTGACCCAAACAAAAATTGACAGAAAACTAGAGCGAAAAGCTACTCTGGACTCCCATGCAATATTGCCTGTTGTGTTAACTCACCCTTGTTACAAGCCCAACTAATTGTTATTATTGTTTATGTCATTACTTTATTTTTAGATATACATATATGATTATTGTCTTTGCTTGACTATATTTCAGCTATTCTTTCTAGAATCATGCTTTTTTCTTCTCCTGCTGGGTCATTTAGAAGTGCTTTTAATAAGAGTAAGTTTGTGGTTGTCTTAAAATGTCTCTACTCACTTTTGTTCCTGAAAATATTTTTGCCCAGTAGTTGATATAAGTTGACATCTATTTTCTCTGTGGATTTTGGTGATATATTTAACCCTCTCCTTGCTACCGTTATTTTAGAATTTGTCATCATAATCATCATGCCTGTGTTAATCATTTCTTCATTGCTGTTGTGAAGATTTTTGTAATCTGCAATTTCATCATGACTTATTTAGGTCAAGATTTCTTTAAATTTATGTTTGGAGTTTTTGGTTTTCCAAATGTTCTCATTCATCATTTTACTTAATACCAGAAAATGGTCAGGTATTATTTTTATAAATATTACCTCTATGTAAATCTTTTCTACTATTTCTTTCTAGTATCTGTTTGAAATAGCATTCATGAATAATAGGAAAAAGCCAACACAGAACCAAACAAAACCAAACCAAAATTAAGTTGAAAAAGTGCGATAAATGTTGGGAGTGGAAATGTTCCATTCTGAAGAGCAAAAACAAATCTAAGAACTGAAGCCCATCCAGGTAAGGAAATAGCATAGCCCCAGTAGGGGGATTAGAGAACAAGGGCAACGAAGTCATGAAACAGGAATAAAACTGGTTTGTTCCAAGAAAAGATGTGAAAGCAAAGCAGTGCAAGGAGGGAGAAGGAGAGAGGAACAGAAAGGCAACGTGCAGGCAGAGACAGATCAGTACATCTCTCTGAGTGCCCCTCTCTGCTTGAGTCCTCATGCCTGACGCCTCCTCCCCACTACAGCCCTGGCCTTGCAGCACTAACCCCCATGTTTGTTCATCCCCCTCTGCTCAGTGGAATCTGAGGCTCAGACTGCATGCACACACCGAACCTTGAACGTGTCCTTCTAAGAAACCTAGCACTTTGGAACCCGATCTTGCTTAGCTCCTGAGACACTTTTTGACACACATCCTCACTTCTTTTTCTTTCTCCTCAACTCACCATCAGCATTTCCTATGGAATCTAGGCCTCCACCATGACCTGTTACACTCCTAGCCAATTTAACTGCTGGTCAGGCTCAGCAGGGCCACTTTGTCCCCAGCTCACTCAATGGCTAATATGCTGCCTGGCTTTAGGCACAGCAGTCGCCACTGAGTACACCCACAGGAGTGTCGAACCATTTTTCTCCTCTGCCAGGCACTGGAAGAACGAGAGTTATCTGGAGCCACACATTAAACACAAACACTAACAGAAGCTGGTGAGCATGAAAAAATGTCCATGCATACTTTTTGCAATACCCAACACCACAGAGAAGCAAATCAGTCCTCAAATAATCTGTATGTGGCCCACAGGCTGCAGGTTGGACACCCCTAGCAGGGACCTAAAAGGAGCAGCTACTGGCAGCTGTGATGAGCCCCCGGATAAGGGGCAACTGTTTGGGACGTGAATCCTGAAGTCCCCAATGACAAGGTGATCTTGTATTTGAATTTTAGCCAAGGAATGATTTCTCTTACAAATTTTCCAACCAGATTTTCAGGTGTTGATAACCATTCACATATTAGTTCATGGTGTGAGGCTGAAATAGCTTTTGAAAACAGTACTTGTTTATTAGACAAGAGGATATTTCTGCATAACATTAATAATTAATAGCCGGGCGTTGTGGCGGGCACCTGTGGTCCCAGCTACTTGGGAGGCGGAGGCAGGAGACTCGCTTGAGCCCAGGAGTTGGAGGTTGCTGTGAGCTGTAATGCCACGGCACTCTACCCAGGGGGATAGCTTGAGGCTCTGTCTCAAAAAAAAAAAAAAATTAATAATTAAAAGTTAAGAAAATTCAGGATCACAAAGATGTGGAACCAATCTGAGTGCTCATTCATACATGAGTAGATTAATAAAAGGTGGTATATATATGCTATGGAGTACTATTCACCAATAAAAAAAATGGTGGGCGGTGCCTGTGGCTCAAAGGAGTAGGGCGCTGGACCCATATACCGGAGGTGGTGGGTTCAAACCCAGCCCAGGCCAAAAACTGCAAAAAAAAAAAAAAGAAAAGAAAAAAGGGGAACCAAGACATTTTGTAACAGCCTGGATGGAATTGGAGACCATTCTTCTAAATGAAGTTTTGCAAGATTGGAAAAATATCACATGTGCTCATATTAGCCTGGAATTACTCAGTACTCATGTGCACTTTCAGTAATAAAACTTACAAAAAGGAAAGGCAGGTAGGAGGGACCAGGAGAGGAGGGATAAATCCCTACTTAATGGGTCCAATACACAGTACTGTACACAGTATCCAAGTAATAGGCACACTTAAAACTTTGATTCAAACTGTACAAAAGCGGTTCATGTGACCAAAACATTTGGACCCTGGTAATATTCTGAAATAAAAAAAGTTAGTGAAATTGTGCTTGCTTCAGCAGCATATATACTAAAATTGAAACAATATAGAGAAGATTAGCACGGCCCCTGCACAAGGATGACTCACAAATTCACGAAGCGTTCCATATTAAGAAAAACAAGTTAGTGAAATTAACATTAGTATTAATCTAACACCTTTAGTTCTTTCATATTTTACTTTTTCTCCACTGAGAATGATTCTACTTATTCCTTGGACATGTTTATAAATTTCAGGCTTATCAGTTAGAATTCTGATCCCAATAAAGCATCCTGAAAACCAAACTGACTTCAGGGAGGCCCTTGAGTCCTCTGTTAATAAGATAATAGAGAAGGTTTTTAGCTCAGAACTATAATCATATGAGTTCATTAAAGTTCAAGATATTAAAACTTTGAGCTACTTTGCATGGGTAATGATAACAAATGCATGAAAATTAGAATATGTTCAGTACCTTCATTGGTATTCTCTTGCTAATTATACTTTTCACCTGAAAGTCATTGCAGCAATATATATACAAATCAATCTCGCTCAATTAATTTGAAACTTTTTTATTAAAATACATTACAAAGTGGTTGTGCTTAGAAGATAATAGCTTTCAATTATAATGCGTAAGTACAGGATTGTAAAAGATGTATTTACAGCAAACTATTTCTTCAACTCCCTAAAATAGTTCAATAGAAAGTGAGTAACACCATTTCCTAGGACTCAGAGTAATCATATGCATATTTAAATTAGGTGTAGTTCTATTACTTTAGCTATTGTCAGAGATGACCAAGATATTTTAAAATCTGAATGTAAGTGTTGGACAATTAAAGGTTGTATTACTTTTTAAATGGGAGTCTTCAAGGAAATTTTTTTTTTTTTTTTTTTTGCAGCTTTTGGCTGGGGCCAGGTTTGAAACTGCCACCTCTGGTACATGGGGCCGGTTGCCCTACTTCTTTGAGCCACAGGTGCTGCCCCAAGGAATTTTTTTAAAGTGAAACATTAGCATGTAAAGAAAGTAAGTAAGCATTACTCCAGCACTTATGCCTGTGAAAACAGGATGATTAGCTGTCCTGGCTTTTCTAGGACCTTGTTTGGTAAGTTTATATGAAAACCCAGAACACCTAAAGAAAAAAAAAGAAAAGGAACGATGGTGTGAATGGAGTAGATGCTGCTGAGTTTAAAATAAGGCGTTTCATTATCCCCGTTGGGGAACATTTATGAAAGGAGGCTTTTTACAGTTTTACTGGGACAACATGCATAAATGGGAACAGACCAAAGCGAGAGTCAGAAAACTTTTGCTATAAAGGGCCACACAGTTAATATTTCTGGGATTTTAGGAATTTTACAGGGCAAGAGAAAGTAAAATGCAATCAGAAAAGCAAGCCTGAATTTCCTTTAAGAAAGTTTATTTGCGTATATTATGGGGAGTACATATGTTTTTGTTACACAGTTTGCATGTGTAAATTTTAAGTTAAATTTATAGGTGTGCCCCTCACCCAGAAAGTGTGCGACATACCTGTGCAAAGTACCCCTTGAGTGGGAGATTGCCCTTCCCCGTCTTCCTTTCCCCCCACCTGAGTTTCAGTGAGTTTTGCTTCACTCTGAACACAGAGGTGTTGATCAACTAGTTCCAGTTCAGTACTGAGTACCCGTGGTTTTTGTTTTTCAGTTCTTGTGATACTTAGAAGAATGGTCTCCAATTCCATCTGGGTTGTTATAAAAGATACTAGGTTTATGGCAGAGTCCTACTCCCCACCATACACATACCACATTTTATTAATCCACTCACGTATTGATGGGCACCTGGGTTGTTTCCACATCTTTGCAATTGTGAATTGTGCTGCTATGAACATTTGAGTGTAAGTGTCTTTATTATAGAATGCCTTTTTTTCCTTTGGGTAAGTTTCTAGCGGAGGGACTGTGGGATGAAATGGTAGAACTTCTTGAACATAGTGTTAAAAGTTTCAGTTTGAATATCTAAGCCACTGTCTTGAAAATTCCTTTTCTTTCCTTCTATCATTTATATTTGTGAACTCCATCGTCCCCCTTTGGGGATCCTCTTTTGTTGCATACCCATGAGGCTGAATGTGCAGTGCACTTGAGTACTTGAAAGGGAGCACTGGCTATCTCCTGACAATTTATATGATCAAAATCAGCAGCTTAAATATCACAGGGCAGGAAGGTCAACATATCTAACAGCTATATTGGGGTCCCTTATAAGGCGGTGCCAGGACACATGGCGAACAGAGGTCAGTGATGAAGCAGCCAATGCAAGGGCTGGTGAAAATATCATGACATCTTACAGGTAGTGATTCAACCTGTGTGAAAATCCTGGTTAGATCCAAGCAGCAGTATTCTGAAGGCGAGAAAAACAATATATTTACATGAGTAGAACACAAAATAAAGGCACTTAAGTGCTATCTTATTCCACAAATGGTCACACTAGGAAAAGTTTCAAAATTGTTTTAAACTGTAACACTTCTGCCAATAGGAGATGCCATAGTCCTTGAGAACATGTACTATCAGGTTCAACTGTTCATTTCTTCTCTCAGTAGGTGCAGACTTTGAGCAAGTTACTTTACTGCTCAGCTTCCTCATCAGTATAGTAGTAATAACAATAGCACCTGCCTATGGGATCGTGGGGAAGAATAAATACATCAGTGTCTGTAAAGCACCACAGCTATGCTGTCTACATAATGAGGACGTGACAAATGTTATCTATGATTATAACGCACCTTGCTCTTGGAAAGAATCTTTAACTATAGGCTCTGAACTACAGAGCTATAAACTTTCTGACAAACTTCAGAACGAAATGGATTGTATTTATTAGGTTTATCCGGCAAATGTACCTTGAGAGCATATTGTGTACCCCAGGTGGGACTTATACAGGGTATATAGCATGAATATATGTCAGAAATTATGAAGGGTCTGGATTTTGTGCCATACTTGCAAGCTAACAAGATGGCTATCTTGCCAGTTTCAGCAATGCTGGAAGACCCCCGGACTGAAGTCAGAGGATAGTTTATTACTTACAGTACTAGTGGTAACCAGAGTGTCAGCACCTTTGCACCAGTTTCTGGAGCCTCAGTACCCACAATGTGACGCAAAGAGAGCCCGGATGAAACAGACCCATAAAGTGGATTGTGCTGCAGGAGAGGAACCCTGAGTTTAAGAATCCCAAATGTTCTCTAGTTAGTAGAAAGCATCCCTTCCCCTTGCTCCAGAGGGAGACATAGTCTTCTAAGGTGGTCCTTTAAGAAACAGCTTTGAAAAGATAGTCCATAACAAAATGGCCTCCATGAAGCTGACATTCAATTGGAGAAAGAAAGAAGAAAAGAAGAAAGAGAAAGTGGGTTAGGAGGGTTAATGTACTTTAAGAATACCCTGGGGCACAATAATCATTTGGGTGCCTTGAGGAAAACTTCTCAGTGTCACCAATTTCCTGAGTAGCTTTGCCCCTCTCTAAGGAAAGAAAGGCGAGACGGGAAGAAGCATTCATTTCTGGTGATGACCTGAGATGACCTGGGTTCTGCAGGTGTATGTTACTGCAGGTGTCTCAGCCTAAATACAATGGCAGCACGCAGTGCAGGAGCCATGGCAGTAACACCCATGAAGGGCCAACTTTATTCTGACCAGAGTCCTGGGTCTTTAATAACCCCCAATTCTTGTGCTGACAGTTATGCCGTGCTCTGCTTTCTCTGCAGATGGCTTCTGCGCATTGAATGCTTCTTATGCTGCGCTAGCATCTGCTGGGGTTCCTAAAGACCATGCTTGGTGGCTCTGTAACGTTCAGTTTCCTATGAGCTTTAGAATAATCTTCTTTTGCAGTTTTTCTCTCCCGTTAACTTCTAAGGCCCAATATTAACAGTTTCACTATGTCTTTCAAATTTATTATTGGGTACATCATACACATTGGCCCCATGCATTCTAAACTCCTTAGTTAAATTATAACCATACATCTACACAGTATTTTAACTTTAAAATATGAATAAGAATAGATGGTGACCTTTTGTTTTGGGAAAATTCAAAATATTAATTTACGTATTCATCAATCTAGTAATAGCTAAGTGTTTATTACATATTAATATGTATAAAGGCCTTTCCACTAATTTAGTTTCTCTTTACTACTAGAAAAACATAGATTTTGTTTGACTTATCATCTTGCTAGTTAAACGGTGTTCATCTCTCGTGGAAGTCCCCCATTATGATCTTTTGGCAACATTGCTTACTGTATCAGTGAAGGTGAGGAGAAATGGTTAGTCCCACTCGGCGGCAGCATACTTTCAGCAGTTCTCAGCCTGTGTGTCTCGACCCACAGGAACTGTATTAAAGGGCTGTGGCCTTAGGAAGGTTGAGAACCACTGCTTTAAGTGGCTTCTTGCTAATGTTGGATTCAACAGAGGTTGTCTATCCAAATTTTATGTTCTTTCTAATCCATATAAACAATGGTTTCCATCTAGAGATAGTTATTAGCTCCTCAAGGATAATTACTGCTTGTGATGGCACTTCCAAGATAATTAGTTGCCTTTAACTATCCATGGTGATTTATTCGACAAGAAAACGAATTATATATTGTTCTCTATTTATTAGTACTTGTCTCTCTTCATCTTTCTATGCAAATACTTAATAAAATAATATTAATGATTATAACTATAAAAATAACATATACCCTTGATTCTATGGCAGTACTTTATGTTATTTCCATATTTTAGAAACCCTTTTAAAAGTAGTTTTTATTCATTCCAACATTAGCTTATTTTGTGCACCTGATGTGGGCCAGTTATGTGTGAGATGCTGCGGTTACTACATGTAGGAACAGACAAACAGATGAAATTCCTTGCTCCTATGCAGCTTGCCTTCCACTATCAACAGAGACAAGCTAAGTGACAAAGTAACACAGCTAGGAAGTGGCTTAGCTAGAATTCAGAACTGATTGTGTCTGACCTTACGTTGCAAACCAATAGGGTGGGGGCACATCAGGGACATGTGAAAACAAACTGTCCCTGACCTCCATCCCCCACTGCTATATGACTGAAGTCCAAATTATTGTCCTTTGCCTTGAATTTTGACCCAATTCTTAGAAATTTACTACAAAAAAAAAAAAAAAAAGAAAGAAAAGGAAGATAGAGTT